TTCAGCAGTCTCTTTGCTGGTGTAGAGGAATCCAACTGACTTTTGGATGTTGATCTTATATCCTGCCACGATGCTAAATCTCTCAGTTAGTTCCAGTAGATTTGACTGAGTCTCTTGGGTTTTCTAGGTATAGGATTATATCATCAGCAAATTCAATGTGATCTTTACATCATTGTTAACTTCCCTTTACCCCCTCACCCACCCACTGGTAACCACTAATAAACTTTTTTCTCCATATATTTGCTTTTTCTTGTCTTTTTATATAAATGAATTCATACCATATTTATCCTTTTGTGATTGGCTTATTTCACTCAACATAATGTTGCCAAGCTCCATCTATACTGTAGCATGTATCTAAACTTCATTTAAAGCAAATGAGTTTTTAAATAATAAAAATTGAAAAAGCAAATGGATTTTAAATTATACGTCAATAGAGTGTTTGGAGGAACCCTAGTGTGGAGCAGTGATTAAGTGCACAGACCAAACCTACCAGTTCACGGGAAAAAGATGTGGCATTCTGCTTCCGTAAAGATTATAACCTTGGAAACAGTATGGGGCAATCTGTTAAGTAAGGTCAGTATTTTTTTTTTCTCCCAGCATTAGTTATGTGCAGGTGGAATATTACTGCAATGCTATCATCAACTGTTTCATTTAGATAAGGTACTACTTTACATGAGGAATGAAGTGTTAAGGACTTCATTAGAAAAATTTATTAAAATACGTAAACAAAGAGTGATTTTATAGATCCCATTTAGTTACCTGAACACTTCAGAAGTGTTTATTCCAGACCCCATCTAGTCACTCCCACTTTTCTCTAGAGTTGAAGCTTCCTTCCATCTCCTATAAATCTTCACCATCCCTTAATGCCTATCACAAACCCCACCTGCATGATGCTTTTTGTTCTCTTCTAGACCACCCTGTATTTGCCCATCTTTGATTTCCTCCTTTATGAATTCTCCAATCACTTTCTTGGAAACTACTTAATGCTTTCAGATTGCTTCACAAATCATTCCTTCAGTGGAGTCATTCTGGTTTGAGGGCCAGGGTTTTGTTCATCCCTTATGCTTCCCACAAATTTTGTCACAAAGCCAGGTGTATAGTTGTGTCCAGAGGAAGCTGATATGAGAACTGTGTTCTCTGAAGAGAAGGAGGTGAGTTTCTTCGGATGCAGACTCTGTAGGGCACCAGTTCAGCTGCTCCCCTTGCAGAGATGATGGTGATTTGCTGTGCACTGATTGCCTGCCTCTTCCAGGAACCGGTTACATTCGAGGACATCACTGTGGTCTTCACGGAGGCGGAATGGAAGAGCCTGAGCTGTGAGCAGAAGAACCTGTACAAGGAGGTGATGCTGGAGACGTACAGGCATCTGCTGTCGTTGGGTGAGG